GTTTCCTATTTCCTGCCCTCCCTTCCCAGGAGGGGTCTGGCCTTACCAAGCATTTCAGAAAAGAGGTGACCAAACCCAGAAAGAGTCTAACACCCCAAACCACACCCCACACCCAAGTTCTGTGGCCATTTCTCAGCACCCTGCTTAGGAGGTTACCCAGCCAGCCCTGAAATGCGCCTGCAGCTCTGGGAGGCACTTGTTCATCTACTTTCAGGCACTGAAAACAAAGTGTGCTCCAGGCCCACCCAGAATACTGGCTGCCTCCCCCCTTCCCTCCTCCACACCCGCATCCTCTCTGCAGCACCTGCACCCCCAAGTCCAGCACCTCTGAAGGACCCTCTCCTCCCACAGCAAAGTAAATAGGCTCTCTCAAGTCACTAACTGACAGCACAAATGAAATCTCAGCGCTCCCTCTTGGAGATTTACAGGAGAAGTGAAATCTTATTTGCACTGCTGCCAAGCCTGGGATGCAATGAAATTATGCCTCGAGAAGAGACCGGGCCGGCTCCTCGTGGAAGCGGCCGTGTCCAAGACGGGCTTATTAAAAGCCGCAGTGGCCACATTTCAACCTGTTTAAGGTGTTAAGTAATTCACTGCCACCCAGAATTCAGTGGCAGGTTTTTATCATTTTTATTTCCATGATGCAGGCGAGTGTCCCCCGAGGTCCCCGCACAGGGAATTGCAGGTCTAAGAGCTCCCTGCCCCCCACCTCCCACCCCTGCACTGCAGAAGGAAATGGGAGATCAGGGCCTGGGAGGGGGTGAAGACTGGGCCCCAACTCTCCCCAGGGTTACACCAGGCTGGGCCAAAGCTCAGTGACAGGGAGGGCAGGCTCTAAGACCCCTCCACCCGACTTTTGAGGAATCAGTGATTCCCCCCCAAGACCCCGTGGGCGTTTTCTGAAAGTAGCAATAGTATAAACTCTGTGAGAGTAGCAACTACCTCTGTCTCCAAAAACGACCTCCAACCCACAATCAACAAGTCTTCTTGGAACACCTGCTGTGCGCCAGGCCCGCTCAGGTGGAGGACAGAGCAGCGAACAGGACCCCAAAGCCCATGTTGTGCAGTAAGTATTGAATAAATATTTGTGGTTGGTTGATTAAAATCTCTGAGATGCAAACACACTTTTGGGAAAAAAGATGCTGGAGGGGGGGCACTGGAGGGAAGGGGCAGGGAGGGAGAGCCCACCTTACCCAACACCGTCACTGCAGCAGCCCTCAAAGCAAGGACCCTCCTCCCCAGGGCAGACCTGGGCCTTCACTGCTCGGGAGCACGTATAAGGTGAGGGGGCCACGCCTTGTTTTCCCCCTTCCTCTGGCCCCCAAAACTCTTGGGGAACACACAGCCCCCCACTGCAAGAAGCTAGGATAGGGAGCTGGGCAGCCTGGGGCCCACAGGGTCACGAAGGGATCTGCGTGCTCCTCGCCTGCAGCCCCTTCCCAGCAGCACTGGGTGGAGGGCTGTCTGACACTGCCAGCTCTGGCAGGGATCAAGCCTATTACAGAGGCTCTGGGGGCTTATCCAATGCCCTTTCTAACAACCCTTTTCTCCACCTGTTTTCAGATACTCCAGGAAAACCAAGGAGAATCTTCAAAGTCCAGGCTAAGCCAAGAGCAGAAATTCTTTAATTAGCTTTCTCTTGGACCAGGGCCCTGGTGAATGGGTCAGCATGGTGGGGCGGAGAAAGGGACTGGAGTCCTCCTTAAAGCTGAGATCACAAGCTGGGGGTGCAGGGCTGAGGGGCCATCACCAGGGACAGTGGGTCCCTGAACAGGCACCCCCAGTCAGTGGCTCCCCAGGGGCTGGCAGATGGAACTTGTCACCGTGAGACGGGGGAGATGTGCTACCAGCAAGGCCGCAGTCCTAGGGAAGCTGGCGCAGAGAGATGCTTGGCAAGGCCACTCTGTGCCTGGGTCTCCTAATAAATGTGCTTCCTTCCCATGTGGCCACCCAGATCTGCAACTTCATAATTAGGGGGGATTTCCTAAAGGGGTGCCCATCTGTGAGAGGCAGGCAGCAAGGCCTGATGGTGCCAGGTGCCAGACATCTGTCACCATGTTCCATCCTTGCTTACTCGCATTTTTTAGAGAGCAAACCAAGGCCCAGACCTGAGGAACTGGTACAAGGCCATGGTGCCGGGTCAGCACTGGAACCAGGTCTGTCCAGGCTCCTCCCACTGCTCCCAGTCCTGGGGACCAGGGGTCTATGAGCCTGGAGGACGAGGCACAGGGGACCCCCCCACCAGAAACTGCTGTGGGGAAGTAGGTCTCCTCAGGCAAGCCTCCTCCAGGGAGCCTTCCTTTACCTGCCCATAGTGCTCTGGATGCCCCATCAAGGCACTTACACCCTGTGCTATAAGCTGGCACCCCTACAGTGAGCATCTTCTAGAGGCAGGAATGGGTCTTCATCATTTTATGCTCTTTGAATGAAGGAAGGAGGGCTGTGCAGTTTGAGGGGCCAGAAAGAGAAGCCGAGCAGAAGGCTGAGCCTCAGGAGCAGGAGGACAGGAAGGATCCTGGGAGCCAAGCTCCAGGCTGGCATCTCCCCCAGGCCCGAGTTCTCCTGCTGGCTGGTTTTTCCAGGGAGGCACACGAGGGGTGGGTGGACGGATGATTCAAGGACTCAGAGATGAGCCCTTGATTCCCCAGACGGAAGCCACCTGAAGTATGACTGCAGCTCCACTCTGGCCCGGCTGCACTGTGCTCTGCAGACCAGCGCTGTCCTAGGGGACAGGCAGAGAAAGGGTGCCTGGACCCCGCAAGAGCCGCCTGCCACCTGCCCCAGCCTCCCTCTGGCATTCCTGCTCCCGGTGCAGTGAGCTGAGCCAGCCCAGACCCCCGTCCATCTAGGATGCTCTTCCCAGCTACCCCTTCCTGCTCCCGGGGTCTGGTCCTTACAGGTGACTGTGTAGCTCCCTAGGGTGACCCAGCTGCCGGAGCCACATCTCCCTTGCTCCCCCTTGCAGCCCCAGCACCTGCTGAATGATTGCGGGATGCCTAACTCAGGCTGCAGCGGGCTCCTGGAGGAGATGACATCTAAGCCGGGGCCTGGAGCCTAAGCAGGGTCAGCCAGGTGAAACGGGAGGAAAGGGTGCTCTCGGCAGGGGGAAGAGCCCATGCAAACGCCAGAAGGGAGAAAGAACATGTAGCTTTGAGACCCCCAATTGTGCTGGAATGGAGAAAATAGAAGAGACCAGACAAGGCAGGGAGGCTCTGAGGCCAGACGATGGGGCCGTGCCGGCCAGAATGCCGAGGGAGCCGAGGCCACTGCCAAGACAACGACTTCCCTATGCTGAGGGTCCAAGGGTGTCAGAAGCAGCAGTAACAGCCAGGTCTGCCCAGGGATTCCATTTCCATTTCTGTCTCGGTGAACACCCACCGCCGCCGCGCCGTGCGGTCCTGGCACCAGCCACGGGGTTGCACAGAGCACTGAAGCCCAGAGACACTGCCAGACAGCAGGAAGTGGCACCCGTCCCTCGAAAGGCCAGGCCCAGAAAGTCCGCGGCCACAGCCAAGGAAATGCGTGGATGTCCAGGGCGAGGGAGCTGGGGGTGGGGGTGAGGCTAGGCGCCAAACCTCCCAGGAGCATTTCCTGTGGCGGGTGTGGCCAGGGCAAGCAAGGGACACAAAGACGGCAGTGGTGACCCTGCGGAACTTACGGCGAGCAGAGAGTCCTCTGTGTTTCCTGGCATAAAGCAAGGATTTCCACACACCTACTACGTGCTGGTTTGGTGTGAGCTGCAGGGGCGGTGAGCCCAAGCGTGGGCGCGTCTCAGGCTGCTGCTGCTCCTCACCTGCGCGTGCCGACACTTCACCCTCTGCCTCTTGGTGGTGCTGAAGAATAATGTCTCTTATTTCAAGGAGCCTTTCCCTGATTACTAGCAAAGTTCTGCATCTTTTCACTTGTTTACTCGCCATTTGTTTTTCTCCAACTGGGAACTGCCTGTCCACATCTTTTAGCTCATTTTTCTTATTGATCTGTGGGAGCTCTTCGCATATTAAGAGAAGCAGCCTTCTGCTGGGGCAGACGGTCAGGGCCTCCCTCAAGGGTCCGTGGTCCCAGGAAAGGGAGGAGGATCTGCATGGGTTTCTGGATGCTCCTACCAAAACTTTACATCCTTGCCCAGCTCCCAACAGGCCAGCTCTCACAGAAGATGAAGCATCTTCTGCAGGTGGAAGCCCTGCCAGGCTCACATCTCAGCTGGCAAAACCCAGAGGGCTTTTTTATTTTTTATTTTTTATTAAGGTATGATTGATATACACTCTTATGAAGGTTTCACATGAAAAAACAATGTGGTTACTACATTTACCAATATTATCAAGTCCCCACCCACACCCCAAGGCAGTCACTGTCCATCAGTGCAGCAAGATGCCACAGATCCACTATGTGCCTTCTCTGTGCTACACTGTTCTCCCCGTGACCCCCACACCATGTGTACTAAACATAATACCCAGAGGGCTTATTTTTTACTTACACTGCCAGTGGCTGGCAGGGTGCTCCTGATGGCACTCGAGGGGAGCCAGCTGGTGTAGCTGGGCTTCAAGGAGGAACGGATGACTTTCACCATCCCAGGCCAGCTCAGTGTGGACCATCTGACAAAAGGGACAGGCTCCAAAGCCTCAGGCTGACCCTCCCACCAAAAGTCCATGGTCCCCTCTGGCACACACCATCCCTGACCCCACTTCTAGGTACAATGGTCCCTAAAGAGTCACCTAGGGACTGGAGAGACACACCTGAGCCCTGCCCCTTGCCCTCTGCCACCTGGCCTCTCAGCCATAAGCAACCCCATGGTTTATTTTTCCCTCCAATGGTTTCCATATTTCAGCAGACAAATAACACAGGCCATAAAACTGATTTCCAAAGCCTATAAAGGCAATAACATTTAGGGAGCCAGGAAAAATAAAGCCCCTCCCTCTCTGGAGTAATGGCTGCCAAAATCCCTCTTGGGGCCCTTTCTGCAGCTGTGGGTGGCACGGCACGAAGCAAGCCCACAGACTTACCTGAACCAGGTGGTATATGGCCACTCAGCACATGTTCCAAGGGACCCAAGGCAGCCAGGGAGGCTGCAAACTGCCTGCTAACCTCTTCTCTGACTCCCCTGCCCATGGCTGCACCAGCTCCCCAAGAACTGACATCCCCCTTGCCCAGCCCTCAGCCACTCCCAGCAGAAGGGCCAGACTGCAGATTGCAGGCATTCTCCTGTGCCCACCAAGGTCACGCCTCTGCAGCCACAGCAGGAGGTAATGCCCATGCCTCGGGCACCTAGTTGTCATCCCGGACGGCCAAACCCATCATCCTGGTCTGCAATGCGCCTGGGTGAGCCTTCTGGGAGGGCCAACAATACTGCCACAGAGGTGGCCACCATGACCTCTGGATGATGGGGTGGGGTCCCTATAGGGTCCCTAAGGGGGCCTGGAAAACTGAGCTCTCCCCCAAGATCTCCAAGTACCCCCCATCCTGGGCTGACGGCATGCCCACCAACCAGGACACCTAGAACAACAAGTGGGTACACACACCCACTCCCTTTATTCACTCACTCACTTGCTCATTCACTTATTCATTCATTCATTCACTCATTTATTCATTGGAGGGTGATGTGACAAAATGAAAAGTACCCAGGACGCACAGTGAGAAGATCTGGTTCAAGCTTCCAGAATTGTCTGGGGACAAGTCACCTAACAGCCCTGCACCACTGCTTCCCAACCGGAGAAGGAGGAATACTAAAAGCTACCTGCTAGGTCATTATGATTATGCTTATCCTAGGCTCGGAGAGTTGTGGGACATGGGTGGTCCACAGCAGCAGACAGTGGTCCAGTAGGCTAACAGGTATGAGGGCAAAGTGCAGAGGGGCAGGCCCTACCAGCCAGAGGGAAGAGGGCCTGTCTGGAGGCAGGAGGATGGACCAAATGACCCTAACAGTCTTTCCAGGGAAGACTGGTTGGGAGACAGGGCACAGGCACTAAAATGCCACTTTCAGAATGGATCCACTGTGCAACCAACATACCCACAGACAAGAGTTACGGAAGGACCCTGCACCCCAAGTCGGGGCCTGTGGGGGCCCCTCTCAGAAGGCACTCACCCTCCTTCTCCTCCAGGGTTAAACACATCATGACACAGAATTAACCAAGGGCTCAGCCTCCAGCTTAACCACAAAGAGAAGAGAGCATCTCCTAAGCAGGGACACCCCCTGCACAGGGGCCCCCAGAGTCTCTGTGGGGCAGGAGGGCTGGGACAGTGGGGTGCCAGCCCATGGGAGCATTGGAGTGGGCTCTGAGGGACTGGAGGCTGCTGTGGGCTGAGAGGCGGCGTCTGCATGGAGAGCATGTGGCTTGGGAATTTATGCAGCTGCCTGTGCGACTCCAAAGGCCAGACAGTCTCCAGGCTGCTTTTCTCAGCAGGAACAAGTCTTGTCTTCAAATCGATGGTGACACATTTTTAAACTCCGGTATGAAGGAAGGAAGGTTTTGCTGGCCCCGGCCGGGGCCAACCCTTATTAGTCACTGGCTCATCTGAGAGAAATCACAGTAGCGCACCCAGTGGGCCTGGGCAAGGCAAGAGGTCCAGAGGCCAGGCTGGCCGACGTGGGAAAGGACAATGACAAACAGGGGGCCTCCCAAGTCGGAAGCTAAGCTGAGTGGGGGAAATGCACTTGGAGAGTGAGACTGGTGGGGCTCTGGAGTAAGGTATGAAGCATCTATAGGGGAATAAAGAGCAGTTGGTAAAGGTAACAGAGGGGAGAAAGGAGAAAAAAGGAGAGAGAGTAAAAAGAAAGAGAGGCATTAAACTGAAGAATAAATTGATTCCCAAGTTAGGAGTTAATAAAACCTAAAATCTTATTTCCCATTTTTCTACAGCTGCCAGGAAGCTCAAAGACACATTTCATATTCAATTGCAATAGACTTGCTTGACCTAGTTTTGAGGTGTCATCTGGGCAGGGCCAGAGGAGGTGCCAGGAGACATTGCCCCATGCAGCCTACTGAAAGCAGAAACTATAAGGGTGGGCATGAACCACAGTCCCTTGGTAGGTCAGACACCAACATCAAATAGCAGGTGGTAAGGCTGAGTAGAGGGCCACAAGCAGGACCAGGTAAGAGGCTGGCAGGTTGGAAAGCATATGCCAAGGGTGCCCAGGATCCCAGGTGTGCCAAGCACAGGGGGCATGTTATTAGATACCCAGCTCAGTGTCCTCCCTTGTCCCTTGTTTCTTTTTATTCCTATGTTAATGTTTCCCCACTTTTACTGTACCTATTTTTCAGTGGAAAAAGGCGGATTAAACATTTTTTAAAAATCAACTCCAGCTCAAACACCCACTTCCCTGGTGATAACAGTCACCACTTATTGAGTTCCAATGACTTGTCGCATTTGCATGCATCACCTCATTCCTCTCAACCACTTTCGGAGGAATGTCACTCTCCTGGGTTTACAGGTGAGGAAACGGAAGTTCAGAGGGGAGGTGCCCTCTGGACGAGGCCACAGAAGCTCATCAGCGGCCACGGCAGCCCTATCCTGCCTGCCCCTGACAAACCCCACTCCTCTGAGTCCCAGAGCCCAGCATCCTGCCCTGTGCACCAGATGGGGCTCCCAACCACCTTGTTAGGAGGGAGAAGAGGCCGGGTGGAGGTCAAGGGAGGCGCAGGAGGCAGTCAGATGATCCACAGAATTCCATCACCTCCTGGCCCTGCCTACAAGGCCCTGGTCCCCTCCCTGCCAAACCCCAGGGCTTCAACCAGACCCGCCCCACCTTCCCGTGACCCTCACCAGGCAAGTTCCCCACCGGCTGCCAGACGAGGATTCAGCTCCTTTGACAGCCAAAGCTGCAAAGCTCCTGGCGCCAGTGTCAATTCTGGGCCATTTGCTTCATAGATTTTAATGTTCCTGTTTCTCCTCAACATCCTCAGCAAGGTAGCTCTTGCTTTTCAAAAGGGATGTGGCGTTTGAAGATGTTTAAACCATACGTGAAATACAGCCAGGCAGCAATAATAAAACAGACGCGAAACCTGCTGGCAGGGGAATGGCTGACAGCCGGCCTCTCTCTTCCCACATGCTACTCTGCAGCTAAGCGCCTATTTTTATGGCAATTACAATGTCCGAGGAGGGGGAGGAAGCAGCAGCGAGAAGGCTGGGTGGGTACCTCCATACAAGGACCACTTGTTGCGGTGGAGTGGGGTACAGCTGACGGACAGGGTTTTAATGAACCAAAGCGGGCAAAACCAGCCAGACATTTCGGCTGAGGAAGGCCAGCCACAGCCACAGCCCACCGCCACCCCAGGCTCTACATGGGCTGGCTGGCCCCCATGCCACTGTCAAACCTCTCCACACCCCAGGACCTGCCCTCCCCAGGGCCGCGGTCCAAGGTCAGCCAGTTCTGAGTCCTCACCAGCTTCCTCAGCTAACACCCCCACGCATACATAAATAGCTGTGTCCTCTCCCCGCCCGGTGTGCAGGGGGCAGAAGCCTGCACACCAGGCAGCCTGCTTCCACCTTAGGGGCCTCTGCCTTGACCAGTCGTTAGCTCAGGCAAGTTCCTGTCCTGCCCCAGGGCATGTGCAGAGCCCGGTCAGGGATGGAGACCTGGGGTCAATGGGCTCTGCCCACTCTCCAGGGGCTCCGGTCTAGCAGGGTGGCTAAGTGAGATACTTTGCTACTGAAAACACCAGTTACCGTTTACTGAGCCTACAGTGTGCAAGGCATTGCAGGCACAGATTAATTTTTCCTCTTAAGCCTCCTGAGGGGTACACATGTGGAAACAGAGGCCCTGAGAAGTAGAATGGACTTTACCCCAGCCTCTGTGAGCAGCCACAGCCCTGGCCTCCAAGGCTGCCTGCACTGCACCCCTGGGGGCCCTCCAGACCAGGCCTAGCTGGGCCCCCACGAGGGTGGCTGCACCTTTGCTACAGGTGCTAAATCCAGACAGCAGGGAAAGGGCCTGAGAGACCCCAGGACCAGTCACTTGCCAAATAAATCAATGTACCCAAGGTGAGCTTCTGAAGCACAGGGAAACCCTGAGAGGGGCAGACGAAGAAAGGGCTGGAGCCTGCAGAGGTCCCTGCAGGGTGGCTTCAGCTCTGCCAGCCCAGGCTGAGCCATGGCCACCAAGCCCTGATGGGGCGCAGTGCACCCCCAGGGAAGGGGGATGTCCCTGGTCCTGCCCCCCACCCAGGCTGTTCCCTGGTATCCCACACACCCCTCCCCACAGAGGCAGAGCAATCACTGAAGGTCCTGCCGCATGGGGGGGAGGGGCCTAGCCCTCCTGCCCTGCACCCTACAGTTAGGACCCCAAATTCAAAAGACTGGCAGTCAGAAGGGGGCCCCTCCCTCTGCCACCCTCTCGGTTCAGGTGCCCTGAGATCCCTGTCCCCAGCCCCACTGAGTGCTGGGTACAGAGCAGTCTGAGACCCTGTCGCGCTGCCCGGTGGAGACCCCCGGGTGGGCGGGCTGTCTGGGGGGTGGGAGGCAAGGACACAGGCAGGCTCCTTCGACTCTCTTTTAGGCCATGTTATGTCCCCAAGCTGGGACTGAGCCAGGCCTCACCCAGGAAGCCCCAGAATCAGGGTGGGGTGTGTGTGAGCCCACCCTGTGGGTCTGGAGAGAGCAGACTCAACCCAACACCCATTTGAGCATCATTATCTACACAGAGCTGGGTGCTGAAAGGACAGGAAGGAGACCCAGTTCTTGGAGGGCAGCCCTGATTTCCACGTGCCATCTCCAGACCCCTTCACCTCCTAGGGATACAAGGTACCCATCCATTAAACAGGCAGGCAAGCCACAGCCTCCTGGAGGGGCCCGAGGCCACTGGGCAGCCCTCTGCCAAGGCGCTAGCAGATCATTCCAGGAGAGCAAGCCAAGGGCTGCCGATCCAGCCCTTTTCATGCTTGGCCAGTTTAATGGTCCCATTAATTTCAAAACACACACGTTCCCACAAGCTCCGGCCTCCTCAGCTCAGTGCTCAGGGCAGAGCGCACACTGGGAACACAGGCTAGCACACAGGTGGGGCGCTGAGGCCACCTGGCCCCAAGGACAGGAGGGTTCCACTCAGCAGGGGGTGGGTGGGCAGCTGAGCCCACATGTTTCCTGATCCTGTGTCCTTCATGAAGGGGAGA